TTTACAAGCGTCTTCTTGCTGTTTGCCTGTTCGAAACGACTCAGCTGTTCTGCTGGTCCTGCTTCCCCCGACCGGAAAAAACTGATTGCAGGAGTAATTCATTAATGCACAAACGGCAACTATATTTGCTCGGGTGGTTTCCACCTTACGGATCTGGCAGCATGCACGAAAGATGAAAACCTCATTTGGTGGATGGGTACGCCCTGCAGGGAGGGTCGCCATGTTACGTTGCATCATGGCTAAATTATGGGCAACAATAAATAGACGCCAGCATCTGGACATGAAAGAAACGTGCAACGAAATGGACAGTGGTGATTAGGGTTGGAAAATACTGAGTTCTCTCTCAGGTCAATGATTTCGAGGAGTTTTTTGAGGAAGAACAGCTACCGAGGAGAAACTCTATTTCTCGTGGAATAGATTCAGTAAATGAAGGTCTTGTTAGAAAATGTGGCAGACGTAAATAAGTGAAGAGGGCCAAGGATGTGTGGCGCTAGTAAATTGTTTCTCATCTTTGTATTTTTATCTTCTTTCGTCAACTTTGGTATTCCTGTTTGACCTATATAATGTACTCCACTCGACCCTCGAAGCGCATGCACCAATTTTGACATAAGTTGGAGTATTCTTCATCATACGGCGAATTTTGGATAGTGTTCACTGGAAAAACGCCATTATAACTAATTTAGTTGGTTCTTTCTAGCCCTCACTCAGCCAATCGTTCCCCAGAATGGACAACCAAGTGAACGTCCGAACGGCCACCAACCCTCATTTGGAGTTGAATTTTCAAACGTCTGGATTTTATGGGTCATCAAACTGTAAACCGTCTTTTACCTGTGATACTCTGTTTTTATATAATTCTTTAGTTGTAGGCTACGGCATGCGACAAAATATCAGGTTTGAACTGTTGACGGCTTATGGGTCATCAAACTGTAAACCGTCCTTGACAAAATATCAGGTTTGAACTGTTGACGGGTACGTCCCTCAGTAGACTTATTTCGGCACTAGATTGGCAATGAAACCAAGGCGAAATAGGAAAAAAACCCCGCGCAGTGTGATTCCAATGGACATATACATAGTGCTTCGTCGGAACCATATTGATACTTATAGTATCAAGATCATGATACAGCAACAACAGTGTGGAAGGTGGTAAAGACCAGGTCGATTTCAGTGAGCGGCAGATTCTTCCGATGCAAAATTTTTGACTTAAACATGAGAATAGGAAGAGTTACTAGGTACTGCCAGGAGAGACTGCTTCATTTTGACATCACAGATTTGGAGGGGGAGAGTCGGTTAGCTTCAAAAGAGAAATCGTTCATGAAAACTTAGAACTATCGGAAGGGCTGAAAGGTTGTTGGCATCATGGGGCGAGTCGTTCAGACGCGGGGTTTGGACCTCCACAGGACCATAGATGTTTTGGAAGAAACGGACTCGGATCTAGTTCAGCTGGGACCCAAAGTTCACAAATAAAAGGAGACTGCTTCGAGACGGTGATCAACCCTTGTAAGCATATGTTCATCATGGAAGCTGCGCAGTACGGCAGTACCCCATGGAGCCGGGTGTAAATGAAAAGTGAAGCACTTCGGGATGATACATTTCCAAGTTGGGAATTTTTCACATGATAAATGTAGCCCGAAATTTCGTTACTTGAATTCGGGCTTTCTTGTTCGTACGCGCAAATATCGTTCTGAGAAAAGGTTCGTTATTTTTAGGTACATCCGGGAGTTGCAAAATTGGAGCTGTTAAAAACGCACCGTTCTTACAGAAAGTGCTGCGTTCACAAGATATGGTTTCATTGTGCACTCATGCAGCACGTAGAATGAATTCAAGATAATAACCACATGGGTAATGGGCCACATTTTAAGGGGTTATGCTTTGCAACTCAGGGTACTGGCTGCAAGGTGGCTTTTGCTTTGCATTGGCAGTAAAGTTTTTGGCGTATTGTGATTTTTTCTTTGTTTTGGGCCCGGAAAGGAACCCGTTATTGCTGCGGCCTTTTCCTGTAAGAAGTGGCTGAAGGCGAATGGGGAGCATGTTCAGCACTCCTGGTTGGAGTACAGAAGGCCCAGGAAAGAAGTGAGGCATTTGGTCCCAGACTAATTAGTGGATTTGTCACCATACACTTCACTTCAAGAAGTGACGATTAAACGGCTCCACAAATGAACACAAAGCGATAAGTTTTGAGTGCGGCGCTTGGTTTTATTACATCCGTTTGCAAAAACCACCAAGCAGTAAGCAATTACGTTGGGGTTTTATTGCTTGTCTAGTGCAGGTTAAATAGCCGGTAAGCAGCAAGATATTTTTTGCTGTCTCCGAACGAAACCACAACCCAGTATATTGATGCAGAATATTTAACAACCATTCAGAAGTTGGAATATCACAAAACGTAGTTGGGCACCATCTTTTCCGATGAAGCAGTCAGAAGGACATATTCTGCATTTAAGAGGGTAAGCCGGCAGGAGAGCTAAATTATTATATACAAAAACTCTGGACGACTTCAAATATTGTTACACAGCCGGTGAGAAGTTTTAATGAGGATAAACACCGAGATAAGTCGTGTGGTGGACCTACGGGTTGTTTCAGAAATATAAGGTGTTCAAAATCGGGCCAGCCAAATCGCGGTAACCTTGAGCGTGTCAGGAAATAATCTGACCAAGTACACGAACAACCGGTTTCACCCTAGGGGCGACTGTACATTGTGGGGATATTTGGGAAATCATGTATGCCACTGAAGCAGTCATCCTCATGATCAACAGCATAACCTCAGTGTTCAACACTGATACCTCACTGCCGTGATCACTGAAGCATATATATTCCAAAAGTCCTTCTTTTATATTGTACGTGAAGGGAGCGTTCGTTCGGAACGTCTGCAATAGACTTGGTCAGGTGAGACAAAAACATGAGTGGCGTTGTGCCTGCCAAAATACACAAATCTCTTCCTCCTCTCAGGATAACAGCAAAAGCGGCGCCAGCATTGCCGCCCCAAGAGATCACAAGGATTATCCACAGACAATATTGCTTGTTTCAGCTAGAAATGTGAGAATAATTAAACGGACAGACCACCCATCATTTAAGCCGCTCCCACGATGTACGAATGAATACAAACGAACATGAAGGGTCCTAGATGAGTTCAAGCGCATCGCTGTTAAAGTCATATTCGATGGGCGTCTATGAGAATATTCCTTGCAGCCGGAATGCCATATGCATGCGATTCATGCACAAGCCAGCATTTTGATTGGTTAGTTATGCACAAGCCAGGAAGCGCGCGCGTTCAAATCGCATTTGTGCACAAGCCAAGAAAAAAACGAGCTAAGTGGCTGAAGCGAGCGAACTAAGGAAAGATGGACTGTCAGTGCAAGCGAGAAAATAGCACGGAACAATTCTAATAATTCGTCGCTTTGGCTTTCATAAAATGAATAAGTGAGGTTAACACCACAAAACGTGTCCACGCACCTAGAAATGCCCTAACTCGACCTGTCTTTTTTCACACAACCGGTTTCTGACTACCCACATCACTTCTAATAAAAGCTTGGCAGTAAATCGATATTTGTTATCGGAAATCTTGATTCAATCCTAACTGTCACTCTGGATATGTATACATATTCAGAACTTTTCGCGCCCAGAAAATTAAGTTGCTTTCGTCCTAATTAATAATATTTTATACTGTATATGACTGTCAGCAAAGGCAGTAGTGTCGTTTGAGGAATCGTGCTAACGAGGAAAGTCGAAAAGACGTCGGAAGATGTCGCACGGAGTTGAACCACGAACCGGCTGGTCCCTGCGCCCATTCTTATCCCACTTGGTCATCGAGACACGAGCAGCCATTGGTGCAAACCTCCGCTAAGCAGACAAGGCTCGCATGGAGTAGCTGTATGTTATGGTGTGGATCACCTGACTCGGACTAGCCAACCATTTGTTTCAATCTGATTTGTGCATGAATCATCTCCAGTGCCTTGAGGGCGGTATTTGGGCAAAGTGATATGTGACGACAATAATGGAACGTTTTTGGCATAAGCATGCAAAAGCTGGCGGTTGCGCAACAAAACTGAAGCAAGGATTTTGGCAAAAGAGCATGGTGAACGATAACTGCCCGAGAGATAAACAAGTGCTGGCAAACGTTTTTGGCATAAGGATGCAAAAGCTGGCGGTTGCGCAAAACCGAAGCACGGATTTTGGTGAAAGAGCATGGCGAACGGTAACTGCCCGAGAGATAAACAAGTGCTGGCAAAACCATCGGTGGATTTAACGAACCGCCGAAGTAATGGCCACTCAGTCGGTTCTGAATATCTTCCAACTGAGCGAACATACCCCCCAAAGTTCCGCAGCTTACATACAGCTTCCAAATGCACGGCAGTCAGTTAGTTGCCGCCTGTCTCAGAGCCACGGAACCTTCCACAACACATTTCGTGAAACTGTGTCTGATCAATGGGATCCCTTCAGTAAGTCTCTGGTGAAGGACTGGCTTCGAAGGTGTTAGAAAACAGTTAGAGACCCCTGACACTTTCTGTCAAAATTTCTTGTGCCACGGCTAAATGTACCTGATATTGCTTGTACAAAAGCTGAGGATACGTGATTTGGAAACGCAATCATATTTTACTCGAATGTCACTAACCGAAGCACTAAGAGTTCGAAAGCGAAGATGCAAGCAGATACGCAATACAATTGGTGCATGGGGAGGGACGCGATTACAGGCTTATAATGAAGTCGGAATATGTCTACATGAACGCAGCTTAAGTGCGCCTAATCTTACCAGTCCCAAAGTGGAGCTCAGTTGGGGCCCGGCACACCATACGACAAACATAGCACCCAGCTGATAGAAGTAGGACAACGAGAAACCGCTCCTACACTGATATTGACCTAGGAACTGATCTGTCCTATTAACTCTCGCCAACCGGGAAGGAATAGCTGTAGGAACCGTTCTATTATCCCATATCGCAAAGACAGAGGCCAAGAACCGTTTCCACCACAGATATTCCAAATACGTATGCAATGAACATAAAACGTGTCGCGAGATTTTATTGTCCATATTACTGCAGCATAAGAACAGTGAGACAAACAGGCGGATAGGACGAATACCGTGGCAGAGGTAAACCATATTAGACAGGGAATTAAAACATAGAGCTGAAAAGAAATTACGGAACACGTTAAATTCCGTACCCAAAGTGGGGATGCTTACTGAGGACCTAGTATCACAAGCGAAGGTGCGATTTCAATTCTGTCACCTTGGACGATAATGCATCCGGCTCCAGAGCGGCAATACGATCCAACAATTGCCGAGCGGAGCAGGTTTCATCTTCTGATAAGAAATCAACAGCGATAGGAAACTGGTCTGAAGTAGAAAAAGCGTTCATCGCGGAAACTATACCCGATAAAATCTCAGTCCTTGAGTTGAGAGAAGAAAAGTGCATGGTGTCCAGCTGCGAAGCGTACTCAAGTACAGTCAGAAACTCCGAAAGCATACTGACACCGAGCCCACTGTCGAACAAGGCACGATGGAGTAGTGAATCTTGAGTGAGAAGAAATTCACTGAGCTCATGAAGCTGTTCGTTATCAGATGAGTGTTTCTTCCTTCGAATTGTGTGCCAGTGTGAGTAGAATTTTTGTGGTGTGATGGGTTCCTTTGTTGAACAGAAGAGGGGGGAGGCAAGCATAACATAACATACGAATGGCAGTGGGTTGCAGAAAATTAGCGACAATGCAGTCATATAAACAGTGCCGGAGGATTGCGGTATTTGCCAGATGTTCAAGATCTACTTTGGATTAGAAAGTCAAAGGGAAGATCAGAGGCCACTGGCATATTCTTGGACGCTGGAAAGATAATGACGTGTCTTTAGGGTTAACATCGTTTTTTTCAACAACGTCGTTATTCAGCCGACCTCAAATGAGCATGAATGATGGCAGCGTTCTCCGATGACGTAAGGTTCATGGATTAGGTCCATGTAAGGGAAATCATCCGAGAGGTTATCTGTTCGGGAGTTGTCTTCAGGCTGTATCGATGTGGTCCATCTTGGGGAAGCCGGGTTCCGGAACGTGTAAATGCAAACAATTGGGCCAGCGAGGTTAGTGGAGTGGCAATTTGTGACCGCCCCATCTAATGCCTCGAAAACAGAGAACACCCATTCACTTAACATTTGAACTGTCAACTAGGTGAGCTACAACTAGCTAGGTCGACCAAATAAAAACGCACAAAGATGTAGAAAAGCTCAAATTGATAAACGAGCATGTTTAAGTGCTGAAGGAAGCAAAAAGGGTAGTCAGTTGTATGAGTTAACCCAACCACAAGGTTCGTCTACTTATATTTAAAGCTATAGAGTGAAAAGAAAAGGAAACTAGTGGGTGGTGCATGAGACTCAGTGCTGGCCTATGACAAGAACTCTGTGGTGCACACACGTCCAAGCACTTAATCAGACAACCTATAAATAAACTGAGATTACGAACCGAATACCCGTTTTCTAATCCGTTGATGCCATCCAAAACCAGCAACGCTTGTGAAGCATCAGTGATCAAACATCTGAAAGCTTCTTAAATCATCTGTTCGCACAGGCTACGTCATGCAGCCCTACAACGGCAGATCCCTTACTGTAGCCTGGTCCATGCGACCCTTAAGACCCAGTGATGTGCTTTTTGACGCCACAGGTGAAACAAATTAGCAAACGTGATTCGGGCCTTTGAGTTATGTTCACTGACTTCATCATCAGGCATAGTTCCATCGAAGCCAATAAGACTACCGGTGTACGTAAACTTCTCCACAATCTCCAATGATTCCCCTTGAATGGTAAGGAGTATGTTTAGTGACTGCATTTTGTGAGGCATGAATTTGCACTTTGAAGGCGCTTGCTGAAGGACGGTCAACAAAACTTGCGCCCAGTCGTCACCTTCCCAGATGAGGACGATGTTTGCTTACTCAAGATCGACAAGCTTCTCACCAGTAACAAGTTGAACACCGAGGTTTTGAAGACCTTCAAGCATCTACCTCATTACTTCATGAATGACGAAGTTGAACAGGAACGAAGAGAGCGGTCATCCTTGTGGGACAACAATTTTTGGAGGAAAACTTTTGGAGATCTCAATATGCACTCTTACACACCCCAAAGCATGTGAATACCCTGTTGAGTAAGTGTAGTTAACAGCACCGACCGATCGACAGGATCGAACGCACCCATGAAGTCAAGGAGCAACAAGGATGTGGGTCCTTTATACACATGGCTTCGCTCTAACATCGGACGGAGAATGATGATGTGGTCGACACAGCCTCTGTCCGTTTGAAATCCGGCTTGATGCTCATGCATTAAGAATTGGTGTACTACCTTAATACGCCGAAGGATCAGTGACGTCAGAAACATTGTTATAACGGAAGTCAACCTCATTTGAACCCAAATCCGCGTAGGTTTCCCCATCGGTCTTAAAAGTTGGCGACTCACTCTAACACAAGAAATTCCTTGGCTGATTTAACTTGACTTAGCTGATTGGTTCTCCTTCTGCCCTAAGTCTTGACTAAACTTGTAAACTAGCCACTTGGCCTGGCGAGGGTTTTGTGTAAAAAGTGAAACGCTCGAAGAAACCTTAGTTAGTAGCTTACCACTCACAGTTCAGTTGTAGCACCCTTTCGGTGCCAAAGAAAACACGAGGGCTGAGATGCTGCCAGGTTGCCCAAGCCTAGACAGGGGAAATCAAGAGACGGAGGACGGGTTCGAACTACGGATCTTCCGGTCAGTGAATTCGCGCTCTAACAACTTGGACCATCTGCGCAACGTCGTGAAGAATTGTGCAACCCATAATGATGAGCGACAAATCGACGGAACGGGAAACCAAAAGTCTCAGACGGGACTTTTGCATCAAGTGGGTCAGAAGGTAAGACAATGACGAAGACTGTCAAGCGGCGAATAGTCAGGATGGCAAAGAAGTCGGAAGCGCGTGATTCGCCGACAATGTGGCGATTACAAAAAGCTTGGAAACCAGGAGTGAGATTGAAAGTTATACCTTGCGGTTCATAAGCTCGTATCACAATCGGGAAATTTTCGGATATTTTGCAAAATTTTCAAGGATTGAATGTCATCTTTTGGGTTTGTGCACTGAAAAACTTTAAAAAAAAATCAAACTGAACCCTGGGAATGGTTAGAGGCGCTGCAGGATATGCCTGCTAGTCCATGTTGTTATCGTCATTTTCTGACCACACTGTTTGAATAAGATGTGGGCACCTCGGAATGATTGGGTAGGACAGGACAAAGTTCCTCGGCCATCTGCTACTATCATCCCCTCCGGAATAAAGGTTTCAATTAAATTATGGTTGGACAATAGCGAAGCATCGGTGCTGATGAGGAAAAACGTTTGGCGTTCAAACCAGTACTGATTGATATACTCCGCAGCCGGTTGATCACCTAGTTGATACAACGCAGCACCTACTACGCCAAACCACTGGACACAGTCACTTATCATATATTGTTACACGTTATCATTATCTACTGCACTATGTGCGTGACATAGACACAGATCAATTTGGCCAAAATGTTTGGTTTAGTTGGAAGGACTATTGTGCTCACCGCTGCACAGGGACGACCATGTTCAAGTCAAAAGTAAGAGGATACTTGGTCAATAGAATGACCTGAAGTTGAACTCAGTACTTTTTCCAAATCTGTCTAACCCATGAGCCAGAAATACAAACACACGACTTTTTGAGTACATATTCCAGAAGTGAACAGATGTATTGTGAGCAGGGTAAGTAGTCTCTTCTCTGGAGAATGAAACCACATCGGGCGAATACTTACTTGGGAAGAGGTGATATCACAGGAAGTGGTCTCCGTATCAGATACAACGGGACATCCAGCTCGTACATGGTTCCAGCTAGACCTGGCTTGGCTGAAACTGGTTAGCTCAGATTTGTCTAGTGGACGTAGATGACAGCCGGCCACCAGTTGACTAGAAGGCGGAAAATTCCAAAATGAAGGGATTGATTGACTGTCATTAAAAACTAGACATTCGTAAGAATATGTTGGAGATAAAAGGAAGCAAACAGGAGGGTTAGTAGCGAAATGCACTCATTTGCAAACACATTTAGCTTTTCGAGAGACTCACCTGGAACCCAGCTGAATCTATCGTTTGTGATGTTTCCAGGCAACTGAATGTGCTGCACCAGGCCACCTCATGTTTTAGTCGCTATGATATTCAAGATATTTGTATATTCGTAATACACTACTCATAAGGTTGCTGAAAATTCGCCGACAGCCCACGACCGGTTTCGGCCTTCTTAGGGCTCATCAAGTAGGCGCAATCCCCGAGTTCCCGTCAACTTTATGTTTTACTTGAAACTAAAAAGGGCGAAACCGCTTGTGGGCTGTCGACGGATTATCGGTAACCTTATGAGTGGTGCATTACGAATATACGAGGCAAATGATACACCTGCATTTGTGACAAGCATGCGAGAATTTTGGAATAAACAGAAAAAATGCCCACTCAGGTAAATGATTATTGGGCAGATTAAAAACAATATACTTGTTCGGGGGCCAGCCGTCCCTAATAACCGAACATCACATCATTTGGATGCATGTGTCACGTGCAGGGCACACGCCAGACGTAGGCATGCCCTGATTGGTCAGAATGCCAGCCAATCCGAGTCAAGCACCTTGACTCGACGGTTCTCGCCCCCTCACGGACATTCTGGCACGACCTTGTGGAACACTCTGTGACTACCCTATATATAAACAGTTGTACTGATTTTCCTTTGTCTCCATAAAGGGCTGTGTACAGCTACCGTTGGGCGGAGCAGGAAGCCAAGGGACCGACACAGAGTTGCACTACCATCCATCAAGACATAACAGTACTCGTGCCTGTTTGTAAGAAATAAAAAATTGCTGATGAGAGCAGAAGACTAGCAGGGCTAAATGGCTACAAGTTGTTGAGTTCAAACAAGGAACAGAACATATGAATATGGGGATCACACAGCTCAAACAGCCGAGTGTTTGATACCGCGAGAAATCCACTCAAGTTCCGGTCACCACAGCATTTGCTTGCCCATAGTATGAGAAATAGGCCATTTGGGTAGGGGAAGCGATGTTAATCGAACAATAACGGATGGAAAGACAAGACTGGCCACTTGACGTTACGTCATGCCGGCGTTTCTGGGCTAATTGGAGGAAAGTAGAAACCAATGCATCAAGCCGGGTAGCGAATATGCCCAGTGCGTGTCAAAAGAAGGCATGCAATAACACACACAGATAGAAAGAAACATGCAGATCACACACTGGATGAACGATCAGGCCACTGGTTAGCAAAGAGGATCGCGTACACACTTACTGGCAGAAAAACAGCTGATTGTTCAGAAGTGCAAGGAAAGTGGTGAAAAAAGACAGTAGGGTGAGGCTACTATCGGAAAAAGAAGACTACGGATGCGAGAAAACTACACAGAGTTGTTTTGAAGGGAAAGTTTCTACAAGTATGGTGTTTCTACGGATTTTTGGACTGAGCCGTGACAAAATTCAGGGCTATTCGCAAGTTAATTGTCACGAGAATCGGAGAATGCATTATAGAGGTTCCCTGGGACGTCAAAGAATTGAGAAACTGGAGGGTTTTGTCGTAGAAACCACCAAAATGGATCAGTCTTATGATTTCACTACCCGGCGCTTCTTAGTATAGTCTAGTTAACGCCAATTACCACGGACTAAGCGGGCTGATCGATCGAAACTCAAACTTCATTGAAAGTTGTATCACTTAACCGTAATAATAGTAATAACAATAATAATGATAATAATCGCTTAGGTGTAACACCCACTCAGGATCTAGCTGTCATGTCACCTGAAGGAAACATGAGGGCTGATACGATGCCGGAGTTGGGCTCGAACCATGAACCTTCCGGTCAGTAATTTGGCGCCTCGACCACTGAGACATATGGAACTCACATTTAATCGTATCGTGCATTTTGAACACTTTCTGAGGCTAAATTCCGCTGTACAGACCCAGCGGTAGTGTAAACCAAAGAACCAAGTACGGCTGAAAGTTCTGGAAACAGATTTGTTCGTACTACAGCCCTTTGAAGCAAGAAGGAGCCTCGTGTTGGCATCAAACGGAGGCATGCAGTGCAAACCATCGGAGCATCAGAAATTGGATCACAACCGAAAAACAACATTACTGGGAAAGCGTTCTTGTCCACGAAAGAATATCAAAGCACGGCCTATCAGCCGTCAAAATTTGCGCATATAGTATCCTTCCACTGGAATCGTGCACCAACTGTCAGATGTCAGGGGCGTTCGCCTTTTCATTGTATGCAACCTTATATGTCAGGAAATACATTCTGGCCGAAAAAAGAGGGTTAGCGCGCAATGCTGGTTCCAGTGCATACGATCTAGGTCATCAGTGCCTTGAAACTACTTCGGCTCTCGGGATACTTCAAGGTGGAGAGTACAAATTCTTCGAATTTATAGTTGATTAGTTAGTGCTCAGCAGGTTTCTTTCGAGTCATTTGGGTGTAGTCAAATCAAGCAAACTTGGTATCGCTATCTACACGGACCGCGTTCAATTACCCGACGATGGATCTGAAACCTACGTATTCAAAAAGAGACGTTAAAAAATTATTGTGATAAAATTATTTTCATTGTTTGACTAAATAAATTGAATCACTGGACGTAATTTTGAATATACTGCATTCAACAATCAAGGCAGATCTTGCGCGCTGAAGTGACAGTATTCAGTCTTACAAACCGGAGGAAGTGTTTTCGTGACACCACCATAGAACTTATTTAGGATCCTAAGTGACGTTTACGAGTGTCCATTGTTGGGGGGGGGGGGGGTACTCACTTGGCGCTCATTATTTGATTCGAGGTGACGTATACGAACCTATCCGCTGAACACTGAGTGCACTCAGATGCTTGGTTTACAGGACAGTGTGGGCTCCAGAACGAAGTACAGAGGGCAAAAGAATGGTGTAATGTTTATCCCACCAGTGTGAACCTGGAACGCTTATCAGGACAATTGGGAAGACAGAGAAGAGACCTTAGGGCTGCGGTTTTTCTGGTTATATTACACGCGCGTGTTGCTCCGAGTGGAAACGTACGGCTTTGAATACAATGTGCCTGTGCCGTATGCGGTGACCTGTCGGTGCAAAGCAGTAAAAGCAACCCACACGAGGGTACCAACACCGGATTAAATTTCAAAACAAGGGTTCCCAGACACCTCAAACTGCTGACTAGGGTAGACACCGATTTCTAAATAAGCCAGTCGAAGCGAAGAACAGGTGAAACCACAAGGTGACGACGGTATTTCGGCCCGATGCACTTTACCATAGAAATTTTGGAAGGCAAGGACACCTTGAAAAGCCAACAGCAACCTTCACTAGTGGGATCGTGGTTATGGGTCTAGCGTTCGATTACATGTACCAGGCTCATGGGGATGACGTAATTCCCTGATCCCAAGGTGAGTGAGCTAGCCTCCGAAATGACACATAAGTCGCAGCGAAATGCAAACCTGTCAAGTGATTTAGATTGACCTGTCATAAAACTTCAAGGATTTGAGCTGAATCATCTGAACACGATTCCAGAAAGTCATAATTCACATAGCTATTGGTTACCGTCTTCCGATTCGTGCATGTGATAGGAGTGGAGCTACACAGTGGTCTTTTAGCCATCTGCCTGCTAGCATTAAAAAACAGACCAACAGCAAAACATATACTGTCAACATGCTTCAGTGATGGCTCAATACAATTGGATGAACACTTGTAGCATCATACATACTGACTTGACTTCCTGAGATATACAGTGAAAAACCGAGGAGACTTGATTGAAACTCTAATTCAAACATAGTCTCGTTGCTGGCGGTGAGTGCAACCAAGAACCATTCAGCCGGTCTGTTGAGGCGAAAAGGTAGCAACACTTGGACTACATGATAGGGGAATAAATACTAGGGCAAAACCTACAGTGGAGGGCAGTTATGAATGAACGCTGCCAAGAGTACCCAGTAAGAGTGGCAACGTGCGCTAACAGTCTAGGAATATAGATCAGCAAAATACACTAATTTGGAAACTAGTTTGCGAACCTGGAACCCAGCTGAATCTCTCGTTTGTGATGTTTCCATGTAACTGAATGTGCTGCACCAGGCCGCCTCATATTTCAGTTGCTACGATATTCCACATATCGCGATACATGTATATACGTAACGCACTACTCATAAGGTCGAAGAACTTTCAGCAAACTTATGAGTAGTGCATTGCGTATGAACAGTGTAGATCACTTGAGAAATGTGAACTAACCATAGGTTATTTTCACCAAATCCGAAAGCCCGTGAAATGCGATATACTCAAAACTATGACGGATGACGAACATCACTTGTGTTCCTTCTATCGATTCATGTGCACGTTTAGTCAGTCAGTGCCTGCAGATGAGAACAGTTGGGAACGGCGCTGATAGGTCAGTCTTAGGCCCTCCTGGCCACTTCGTTGTTTCACTCACAAGAGAGGTGGTGAAGTAAAGTGGTCAATTCTGGTGAAGTGAGGTAGGATAACTGTGATGAACAGTTGCCTTGAAAAAATCGGCTGCAGTGATAATGTTATATAACTTGGCATGATCAATACAGCCCAGTTATAAGTAGCGATCAGGTGAATAGCACACCCATGAACGCTGCAACGCAAGTGACAACAGTGAGGATATCGTCACATAATGCAACTGAACAATCTAACGATCAAAGAGGAAGCAAAAGGTTATCTGAAAAAGTCGAAATGACAAACAGAGAACAGCGATAAAAAGGCAAAAAACTAACCGGAAGTGCTCATACGTTGGGACGCCTTGTTCCACAGCCCGAATTTTCGTGTCATTTTCCAGCCAATACCGAGCATCTTTCGCCACGGCCGAGTTCAGCTCCGATTCCAAACGGTCAACATTGATGCCTAAGCGACGAAGATGTCCCACGTTGTTAACTGACTTAGCATCGCCAGAATCCTGTTGAACAATGGAAAAGAAACTGATATGTACATGCTACGGAAGCCGTCATGAGAGCATACACGCGTTCCTTACTTCCACCTCAAAGACTGGGGATTTACTTACGAAGCCATAGGAAGCCATTTGAAAGGGGTGAACTCAAAGGTTTAAAGTGTGTCTTCCGTCCAATCCTCGTTCAAAACCACGTCATTTGTTAGAATTTCCTCTGTGAAGGTAACAGCATCCGTAGTAGCCTGGAAGGTTGTCACATCCCTGATCTATTCGATGACAACAGTTCGGATTACTCGAGTAGATGATTCATTATGATGGACTTTAAAAATTCCCCACTCCTAAGCATTACCTATTATCAAGCAGCAGATGATGAGCCAAAAAATATAATAGGTCCTGAAAAATAAAAGGCAGCAAAGAGCACATTACACATAAAATTGTACATTCTAAAGCTTCGGATAGACTACCCTCTTCTCACTAAGTAGTGCTCTCCGTTCAACCGAAGTCATTCTCATCAACAACCATTAACAAGGCCTCAATGTATGCTTTCTGTCCACCAATACGCTTCTTTTTGTCGCGGTGATCAAATTCTGATCCTTCTTCATGCGCGTTTCGACATCAGATGGACGAAAATAACACTGTTCTGAGCTGTAGCGTTGTCTAAGACTGCGGTCTATATTAATGTTGTGGACCACAGTCTCCTTAATGCCTTCTTATTACCGTGAAC